GGGGGTTGTCTTAAAAAGAAAAAAGGAAGAACCATATGTATACATATCTTAAAATGCAAGACACCAAGTATTAATCATCAAGGCGCTGAACCTCAGATTACCCCGTTAAATCAGCAGCAGCAGCAAAAATCTGTGGTAGCACTCAAAACACGGTTCAAGAGGACATCTCAATGTATTATTCACCCCTTGCTCATCCAGCTTGAGGAGCTGTTCCGCGACTTTGGGAGAGTTCATGGCCAGCCTCAGACACTGGATATTCAGCTCAGGGATGACGTATTCAAGTACTTCTTTGAGCGGCAGCCCGCGGGCCGTCCCGTGTCTCGCCGTGGATGGAATGGCATCCTCCAGGATGGCACCACGGAGGGTGGTCAGCTGGCAGGAAAGACAGATGGTGAGGATTTGTCCAGTAAAGTTAACAGTCATATAAACTCCTACTTGTACAGTGTGATAGGGTTGGGTCAGGTATGCTTCCATATGCTGACTGGTGTTAAGGGTAATGACTACATTATGACTCTGGACAGCATTAGGGAACTCAAATTCTAAATAATTGAGACAGGCTAACTGAATACTAGATGTTTGTGTGCCAGTAAATACTTTCAAAACAACAACATCCAAATTTCCATTTGCACAGCCTGTTAACATGTCAGCAGTCAACTGCGGTCCAATAAAAAGGCTTTCCGAAAAGTAGACTTATATAGCAGAGGAAGGAAGAGAGAGCGATGTGGGGCAGGTCGCGCAGAGAGAGCAATGAGGCTAAATGACAGGAGTACATGCAAATAGATGCTCCAGCGGTCGAGGAGTTAAAACACTGCCTGCGTGCCACTTGCAGGGCTACCATGACCCAGATACATTGTTTTATCGTGGGAGTGGTGCTTTAAACCGAGAAGGGCACTGGATATCAGTGACATTTTCCTGCCTGACGCATCTGTTGCACCTGAATTATTCAGTGAATGAGACAAGCCAGCATCAATCAAGACGATACGGTCCCACCAGGGACACCAGGACTCTGCCTCTCCGTTTTTTAGGATTAATCAGGTTGTGTGTTCATCGGGGTGTGTGAAAGTGAGCCAAGGCAGGCAACTACACACCTCTGATACACTGTATCAGTATTTGCATTAATGGCCAACTGAGTCACAACTGGCACCGAATCACTGGACACATTAGTGCAGATTTAAGAGGGCAGAGAAGTTTCCTGTTGTTTTCGGGGGTACTGAAGCATTCCTGGACTCTTGTACTGCTTGACTGAGCCGCAGGCCGAGTGACCTTAACGTGTCTCACTGAATGTGATATGAGAAATGTGAAAAATCCATGTTCGCGCTAGTAAACAATTCTTCAATAAATTGACAGGTCATGAAGGTTCTCCAATCATGCATCCATAATGTAAGCAGTGAGCGAAAAGTGCACATCAGTGTATTATCGTTACCTGACTGGTTCTAAAGGTGACCCGATAGTTGTACTGCGTCCCTTCCTTATCCCTTCCATCGTCTAGCTTCTCCCTGCGGATGCTGACTGCCACGGGTCCAAGATGGTCGTCTACACCGAAATAATTCTGATGCTCTGGAGGGAGAGAAAGAGATAAAATTAAATGAGAGTTATGCATGTTATCAGACATTATGTTAGCTGGTGAAAGAAAGAAAGCTTAAATATAAGTAATAATAAATTACAGATTTTTAATAAAACACGTAATCAAATTACTGCTGTGGTTTCAGTAGATTATCTGTTTACCTATATACACTCACAGACGAGCTGATTAGTTACATCTGTTCAACAAAGATCTCATCAGCCAGTCACATAGCAGTAACTCAATGCATTTAGATATGTATGCACGGCAAAGACGACCTGCTGAAGTTGAAACTAAGCACCACGATGAGGTAAAAGGTGATTAAAGTGACTTTGAATGTGGCATTATCAGAGCTGGGATGTGTATTTGTCAAATTATCAATCTACTGGGATTTCTTCATGGCCATCTCAAGTGTTTACAGAGAAAGGTCTGAAAAGGAGGGGGAAAAACATCGAGCAAGCAGCAGTTTCTGGGTGAAAAAGCCTTCTTGATGGAAGAGGTCGGAGGAGAATGTTCAGAGCTGACAGGAAGGCAACAATAACTCAAACAACTACTTCTTACAACCAAGCAATGCAGCAGAGCTTCTTTGAACGTACAGCACATTAAACCTTGAAGATGGGCTACAGCAGCAGAACACACCGAGGGCCACTCCAGTCAACATAAAACTGAAGCTACAGCCTATTACTCCATCCTGCATTATCTCAAGTGGTTCAGGCTGGGGGTATGTGGTTATTTTCTTGCCATATTTTGGACTCCTTAGTACCAACTGAGCATCATTTAAATGCCACCCGAGTGTGTTGCTGATCATGTCCATCCCTTTATGCCCTACAGCGTATCCACCTTCTGATGGCTGCTTCCTTTAGGATAATGGATCATGTCACAAAGCTCAAATCATCGTAAACTAGTTTCTTGAACATGACTGAGTTCATTCAAATGGTCTTTACAGTCACCAGATTTCAATCCAGTAGAGCAAGAGCAGAGTTCACATCATGGATCTCCAGCTACTGTGTGATGCTGTTGTGTCCCTGAGCCTGAGTCTGCCAGCAGTCTCTTTCTGATAAAAAGGGATTTTTTTCTTCCCCAGCATCACCAAGTACTTGCTTATATAGAGTCATTGGCCATTGCTTTGTAATAAAGCACTGATAAGACTGCTGCTGCAATTCGGCACTAAATAAATAAAACCCACGTGCTCCACGTGGCATTGAGTTTTGCACAATGCAGACACATGCAGACTGAAGTACAGACATGACATAATGTCTTAATATAAATCTGCATCAATACATTTATGACCTTAATAATACATCAGGTCATTTCAAAAGAAATTTAATTCAGTTTTCTATTCTGAAGTGAAGTGCATGCATGACGCATAACATCCGTAATTGAATGAAGCAGACGCTCAGGACGCCCACAGAACATGCAAACGTTTTTTTTTCCTCTTGTTGTTGTTCTGTCATTTTAAATTAATGGACTGTTCTGCCCCATAAGTCATGTTCCCACAGCTACTACTACGACTACTACTACTGCAGCAGCAACCCTTGACTTTGTTCTCATGCTAGAAATGAATGATGCAGAAGTCGAGCTTTGCACTTTATAAATGGCATGTACTCGTATGCATATTAGATAGATGACCACGCGGGTAAGAATGGTGTTAGAAAAACACCGCACCAACATTCAATACTGGTAGAGATTGGATCACATGACTGGGGGGGGGGAATCACTGCGAAGATGTTGGTCTATATATCCATCAGTTATATCAACAATCATGGCATGAAAACTAGTAAATCTGGTGTAATCCCAGAAAAACATTTATTGGGTGCACACTCAAAATTTCATGTTTCGATCTACTTTGCTCAAAAACCCAAGGCAAGATTTTCAGGAAATTTCCAGGGGATTTTCATGGCTTTGGGTAAATCTGATGTTTCCAGTAACCTCCTCACCCCTCCAGTGTGCTGAAAATATCAAAATGTGATGGGCAGATTCTCATTACTTTTCCTTGCCCTCTTTATGCCCCTGAAGGATGAATACTTTTTTCATTTATGGACAGTCTGTGGTTGTTTCCCCTTTGACACCCTGAGGTCTAGACATTAATTTTCAGAGTAAATTAATAGTAATAATAATAATGATGGGCAGAATGCCAGCTCTACTCCTTATAGTATCGCTCCAAAGGAGTTGAGTCTTTTGGCCAAATTTCTTATACAGTCGTTAATTCTTTCCATCAGTTATTGTGCTGATTTAATGAAAAATTCACTACACGACAAGGATTACTAGCTGGGCTTTAGTCTTTTCAGCTCTAAGCACCATAAGAACCAGTACTAATTTCTTTGTTGACACACAATGCATGCGTGCGTACATGTGCATGTGTGTGTGTGCGCATGAGTGTGTGTAGGCACACATATAAGAGGGCCTTGAGCAAACACTCCCTTAATCCAGGCTAAAGCTGAGGAGAAAGACCTGGATTCAACAGCTAAAAGAAAAACCTCAGCAGGGTCCACAAAGCAGTGACATTCACAAAGAGATTTCTGCAGAAGTTTTCAATATTACATCCACGCCATGCAGTGCAAGCTGTGTTAAATAGCGTGGTTCTTGTCACTGTAGCATAAACAGTGGAGCAAAACGCACATCGGCATTAATAATAAATTATCTGTATGGAGGGAAAGTAGGGTTAACTGTCTGACGAATGCTTGTCAGGGACAGAGTTCTGCAGGGAAATGTAAGGCATAAGGTCAAATGGTGGTGGTGGGGGGGCTGTGTAGCAATGGAGGTCTCAAGGCATCCAAATACCAGGAGCACAGTGAGTCAGACAGTGCTGACTTTAGAGGGAAGCTTTTTGTCAACACATTTCTTTAGCATGTCAGCGGTGCCCATCACATGGTGCTGACAACTTGCCAAAGGTTGCAAATTGGATGACTTTGATTTTTCATGTCAAATAATGCCCCCTTCTCGTTTTGCTGTTAATCCACACCACAGAAACACCTTAAAAAAAATCTTTGAAAGTCCAACACTGTGAGCCCCTTCTTCTGTACATTTAGTGCTCCAAGCTTAATTTCAAGCCTTGCATGTCAGTAAGAGATGGTTTACATTGCCCTCTGCACATCTCAGTGTCAACCCAAACACCTAATGTGACCATGACCTGTACATACAGGGAGTGCAGAATTATTAGGCAAATGAGTATTTTGTCCACATCATCCTCTTCATGCATGTTGTCTTACTCCAAGCTGTATAGGCTCGAAAG